GCGACAAATTCATTTTAGCTGCTAAATTTGAAATATAATTTTCGCCTTCATTTTTCTTATTTACAGCACAAGCAACTCTTATATCACCAGATATAGACATGCCGTATAATCTTGATTTCGGAGCCTTACTTACTACGATTGAATTGAAACTTTCATTCGGATTACTTGAAGCACCGGCTGAAAATTTCTCTGCGTTGTCTGCTAAATTATTAAACAGTTTCTCTAAATTATCGTATAATTTTAGATCAGAAAACCCATCACCAATAACCTTATGTCGGTACTGCTCCGGATTTTGATTATATGAACACCATGGGCCACAATTTGTGTGATCATTGAATGCATGTCGAGGAATATTTCTTATGGCATCAGCCATACCTTGACAGTCACCTATATTTCTTGACACACAGTAATTAAAGCATTTCTGCAGATACTGAATAGCTATAGTGGAGAGTTCCTTATGGCTCTTTTGCATTTTATATAATGCACTAACTACACCTTTACTTGTGTGGTTTTTATCAGCCTGCTTTACTACTTCGAAATCATGGGCGTTTCGCACAGCAAGAATGGGACTACTATCGTTATCTGCTATAAGTATACCAGCTTCAACATTACACGAAGTGAAAATATCATTTTTCTTTGTAAGCTGTACCGCAGCATAAGGTTCCATTGCTTTTGCAGTGCCAGTGAAATTGCAGCGACAATCATGATCTTCTTTGCAATGTCCTAAATCGCATTTTTTGCATTTCCTATTTAACACTGTATAAGAAAGAACTTTTTTCGAAAAGAAACCAATAAGTGACGAAGTTCCAGAGAAGCTGTTGTACGATCTGCCTGTGCTCCTAGTAAACCAACCCGTATCAAACGATGCAGCAATACGCGCTCTCTACTCCATATTAATTAACATATTTTCACAAGGATTTGGTAGGTCAGGAAAAATGAAAGAGGTGCTCAGATGTGGAGGTCTGTTGGTAATAAAATAACGCATTAGGTTTGTATTGTAATTGTGTATATCAATATAATGTTTTAATTAATAAATATTATGAAAGAGCAAATATTCCTAATATAAACAGAAAAATATGACAAATGTTGTTCATAAGAATTATTGCATTAAAATATATGCTTTAAAAATCGAGTAAAATCATTAATTAATTGATGCACAATATAAGTAAATTTGTAGAATGTCACTGAAAATCATTTTTCACTTCTAAAAAGACGATCACTTATCGTATATCATTTCGAGTATAGTTTTTGCTCATTTTGCTCTTAAGTATTATTGTCCATTTGTATTTGAGGACTTACAACAATGCAATGATTTCTTGAACTCTGTCAATGGTAATCTATCTCTCTGCAGCAGTTGCATTTATGCAACTTTCACGAGCCATTTCTTCAACAGCCCGTCCAACTTCTTTTTCATGGACTTTGAACACGTCCCAATTGAATTCTGGGATATTCAGTGCAGATAATACTTTATTCAAATGAGTATTCCCCATACCTGCATTTAATGTACCTGTAATGTAATGTTTTATAAACATTTTCAATGAATTGTGTTTTATATTAAATAAAAATAGTACAGACAATTATACTGTCAACGAATATAGATGGAACACAGAAGCACGGAGCCTGTTTTAAATACTTATACGAATGAATGTTTGCAAATGAGATACATTAAGAACATATCTCACCGGCAAATATTAATTCGTCCCACTGTTTAATTCGGACTCCGCGCTTCTATGTTGGTCTATACTTATTGGTATTATAATACGTACCTATCACTACTTTTGTGTTAGTATCGAAATGTGTGCGTTTTTCATAAACTTTATGTTCCTTATCACTGCACACTTTGGAGATGCCTTCACACTGATGACATTTTATTAAAAAAATAGACGCTAAACCATGTCTTTCTTCGTGAAGAATATTTTGTAAACTGAGTACTGAATTACACTTTTTACAGTTTAATTCCTTTCCTAATGTCTCCAGATGTATTATTCGACGACCTTCAATCTCAACAGCGTCTTTTTTTAGGTTAGTCAACTTAATTATGGCATTTTTCGTGCCATACACCTGTCTTAGCTTTTTCCCGATTTCTTGCTGTTGACATCGTTTTTTATACACTTTTCCTGTAACTCGCTTCCCTTTCCAAAAAAATCTTTCGGTCTTTTTACGCATTTTAAAAATATCTACATATTAATTCTTCATGTGTGTATCGCAGTGTTGCCAGAGTTATGATTACAACTGCTCGAGTCAAAGGCACGT